ACGACTCGTACTTTCCAGATGTTCAAACCATGATGGTAAACAAACGCTTGAGTTCATCGCCACTACAAACCAAGGCCTGAGGATCTAAGAAGGTAATGTTTGTTGTCTGGAGTCCGACCATCAACGCAGTACCTGCTAGAACATCAACAGACGCATGGTGAAGATAAAATATTTTCTGCCTGCTGCCCCAGAGACTGATCCCGTAATGGGAGGGGGCCTTCCGCTGTGTGACCGCCATATGTTGCGACCAAAGGAGACCATTCACCTCTGTCTATCCCCCCCCTCCTCTCTCTCTTGCTCTCTCTATTCTGCCTTATGTATCCCCATGTAAATATGCTTCTAATTGACTTCTTTTTTTTATTCTTTCCAGATCAAGCTTTGATACAGAAACAGGTTAACCAGGGTAACCTTACGCTGCATGATGAATTCTTGCAAGATTTGGAGTTTTCTAAACTCAGGAGAATCCATCTTGTACCACTCCAGCTCAAACTGTCTGATGCCCGGCCTAAAATAGACCGGACCAATCATGTGTCGGTACTGTGCTGTAGGGTGGGAGTTAGTTTTGATGATTGCGCCCGGCTAAGCAAAACAAACATGGCCACGCCGGTTGACGCTAACAGCAAACAACAAACAAAAAGGCAACGCGGTGTCCACGGCCAAAAATGGTCGCGGTCGGATGTCTTAAATTTGTTCACTCATATGTAACAGAAAATTCTCTAAAGATCCATCCAAATATATATATATATATATACATATATATATGTATGTATGTACATGTATATTTTGTATGTATGTACATGTATATTTTTTTAAATGTCTTTTTATACATTTCGGAGTGTCTCTGTCTCCCCTTGCAGGTGGTGAGCTGCAAAAGCCTCAGTCTGTGTAGAGGAGGACAGTGTTGACACTAATACACACAGGAGTCCTAGCGACTGCATGCGAAGCAGGATGAGCGTGGTTCTCCTTCTCCCTGATCTCACTGTGTGGGAGTGCCTAGAATGCTGACATAGACATCAGACAGCGTGTTGTGATTGGCTCCTCCAAAGCTAAAACAACACACAACCGCTTCATCCGTCTGACTCAAAGAGAATGTTGTGTTTTCATCAGAAACTTGATTAACCAGTTTTTGTCCAGTTGGTGTGAAAGTTTTAAATCAGACGGGCCCACGGATCACATCACATATAAATGTACCAGGTGAACAGCACACACCAGTAAAACTACAAATCCCAGAATGCAGTTATGTGAATGTGTGTGAGTGGGTGAATGACTGGTTTGAGGGGGAGGGGGTGTAAAATCATAGAAGGAGCTATATCAAATACAAGCCTTTTATTATTTCCAAATGCAAATGCACATCCAGCAAATAAACAAGGTCAGTTCTGTGGTCAGATTTCTGAGGGGCTGACACCTGGACAGATAATCACCTAATCATACAAATAGTCAGTTTATACAGGAGCACAGAGCAAGTCCCCATCATTCGGGTCTGAAAATGAAGCCAACACGGAAGTACCAAAAATTGCAGTTCCACCCTCATCCACTAGGGGCTGGTGTCAGAAGCGAGCAAATCCTCATTGATTCCCATGTTAAAAATACCAAATTCACAGCAGAAATAAACATGTTTACAGCCTGGTACCAAAACATGTTTTTGGTTTAAATGATCTAGTTTACACTCATGACAACTCTGAGGGGGGTGAATTTTTTCTCACTCTTCTGTTTAAGCCTAAAATTCTGAATAATTAATGAGCATCAGACCCATGTGACCACAGGGGAAAGGCCTCAGTCTGAGCCTCGGCCTCGCCTGAAAACTTTTCTGCCATTTTCAGTCTCTCAACTTAGACCATTAGTTGTAGCGTTTGTGCGTTCTTTTTTGGATATTTTTTGTGCAATTGTTGGACAAAAGGACTTGCTGTGGCATTAATTGCACTAATAGAGCGTCCAAGGAGTCTCCACTTCATGTATTTCGGTAAGTGAAATTATATTTATGTATTTTAGGTCACTGGCGCTCTTGCGCTAGCTGAGCTTAGATTTTAACGTGTACTGTTTAACCATGAAATTTAAATGTAATAGGGTCAAACCCAGTGCATTTAACATGTCGCTGCATTTTTGAAAATGGATTGAAATATGATTGGCGGAGCTGGGTTCCGACTATCGGTATGGTCTCCCTCCCACTCAGCGGCAGCTCGGCACATCTCTGACCGCAGCAGCGCCTGTCTGCTGCACGGGCTGCCGGCTTGCAGCTCTCGGATGGAAACCGATATTTTCCACCCAGCTCTCCCCAGCGGCAGCTCGGCGCATCTTTGATTGCAGCGGTGCCTGTCTGGTGTGCGGCTGCCGGCCTGTGGAGCTCTCGGGAGACCTCTGTGTTCCATTCGGTTTTCCCCAGCAGTCAGCTCGGCGTATCTTTGACTCAGAAGCTCCGGTGTTGTGCAAGTTAACTCCGGTTGTAGCTAGGCAGCGACCTCCGTTAGCTTTGCTCCCACCTCCGCGTTAGCTTGTAGCTACATTGCTTCAGTTTGACGGGTGTTGTCATTTGATCACAGCCTTACAGCCCCACCCTCAGCTCAAACTCTTTTCCCTTTTTATGGAGTTGTCTAAGTTTGACGGAACCTGTGACATGGTCAAAATGGCGGTGGTGGCCACCTCCCATTTTAGCTCAAAAACATATAAATGGAGCCTATGGAAACAAATTGCCCGATATATATGTCAATGGCACAGAGTCAAAAGTAAGTGAAGAGAAACTGTGTGTGTGTGTGTGTGTGTGTGTGTGTGTGTGTGTGTGTGTGTGTGTGTGTGTGTGTGTGTGTGTGTGTGTGTGTGTGTGTGTGTGTGTGTGTGTCAGTGTCAGTGAGGCCTCCAGGACAAGACTGTTATTAAGATGTGTATCTTGTGTATTGCACATTCAGTAGTACGATATGTACTATTATGGTGTTCAGTATTGTGCTAAATGTCTGTTCTGATGTAATTTTTAAATCATCCTCTGACAGGCACCAAACCACCGTCTGAACTCCCTTAGCCCTCATGCCCTCACTGGACATTCATCACTAATGTGATCACCACC